GGGGACAACCCGTGCTCTCCGTTGGGGACAACCCGTGCTCTCCATCACGGAGCTCCACGAGGCCATATCCAGACCCTCGTGGGACTAAAAGGCAGCCGGACTGTGTCAGCACAGGCCCTGTGCCACCATGTGGGGTCAGCGAGCCCGGCCTGGCGCTCATGTGGCGTCTCGCGTGGCCCACGAGCATTTCCATGAGTCTCCAGAGCCCCTCTTGGTCGTGGCCACCACAAAGAGGGGACATGGAGGTGACGTGGCTTGGCGAAGGTCACGTATCGGATCAGGACCAAAAGCAGCACTCAGGGCTCCCATCACTCCTGTGCTGGCTCCTCCGAGCAGGAACAAAACCGCAGAGGAATAAAGAGATTTTGCTATCAGCGACCCAGGAGGTTGTCATGTTCAAGGGGAAAAATTACCCACACATTGGATTTAGGATTGCAGTGATGCTTTTGGTACATGTATTTATTCTATATATTTTTTTCTTTTTTTACTAGCTTGGCATCCTAGTTCCGTCACTGCTACACACAAGGACAAGATATCAACAGCTGACCTAAAGGCAAATACGTGTCTTGCAATATTAGATAAAGGCCCCACAATGGTGCAACCCAAATCTTTTGTTTTAAGTTGATAAAGACAGCGAAATGTCATCTGCTGCTAAGTGACTTCTATAGTGATTAAATAACCTCCCTCCCTCCCCTCTCCCCAGGACGCTTACCGATAATATAGGAAAGATTTTGTACGTTGTTTAGCTTACATGGCCATCTGGCACTTTTGCCTTTCAGTAGCCTTGAACATTGGAAAAACAATAGATTAAAAAATGTCCAATCTTATCAGCGAGCTGGAGAAGTTCAACTCTGTCAGAGTACATAGGATTAACCAAGTCGCTATACCTCTTTTATGGTCTTCATTAATGCCCGTGTTCCTCAAAGCTTTTCCATTGTGGTCCACTCTCAGCCAGGCTATTCCTTATCTCCTTTGTATGTGTTTTAGCTGTGAAACACCTTAGCTCCAGCCTCCGGAGTAGAGGCACGGCTTCTGGGCAATGGGGAGAAGCATGCTGAGAAAAGATACAGGCTGTTTTAACCCCAAATAAAAACTACAACTTAAAGTCTTGTCTGAGCTAGGGAAAAAGATGCTCTTCAAGTGAAAACTCAAAGGTCCTGGTCTAACCTGAGCCTACTTGACACTGGTGAAGTACTGCAGTGATTCCATTTGATGCAGTTTATTGCATCCACGAATCAGGGTGTCAGAGCAGACACCCAAGGAAGGGAAGGTTTCCTCCACCAAATGTATATTCAGAAAGGCTAATAATTTTGAAGCACATTTTGCAGATAGTTTCCCCTACACACTCTATCTCACTCTCAAATAGGGTGCATTTATGCAGGGGTAGGGAGAATTACCCATAAAATGAGCAATATCCCATGTGAAAGATTTAAAAGAGCAGGAAGAGCAAGTGAGCAGATTTCCACATAATGTATCTCCTTGGTGCAAAAAGTATCCGTAACGACGGTTATACTGATAAATTCAGATGGGTTTCAAAGCTCCAGCAGCTACGATAAAGACGTAATATCATATTATCATCAGGAGTGTGTGGAAAGGACACACTTAATCTTTCAGGCATGTATAACATCTCCAAGGGATAATGCCTTTACAAAGTCATGCTGCCTGTTTATCTATTTTAACTGGTAATATGTTCATTCCTCTTAATAATAAAATCTGTAGCAATCATATTTTGGGCTGGAAAAATAGCATTTTATAATATGCTTTCTTTCAAAGTGACATTGAAGCACTTGGAAATCAGGGCACTATTCACGTTCCTCAAGACCCTTGTGGTGACCCAAATAGCATTATCGGAAGGTGTAATTGCAGGGTGCTAAGTAAACCTGTAGTAAAGTAAGTAAAAAGCGTTAAGTTGGGTTACTGGCCAGCACTGAAGCCAGTCCTGCTCTGCTACCACTGATGTGGTTATTTGAACCACATAGATTAAAGCCGAGGAATCACCTCTTCACCTTGCTAAATTCACCATCGACATCCATGCAAGTGAAAATCAGCAAATCTTTCAGGCCATGCACTTGAAGGTGTTTTAATATGCAGATTCCAGCACAGAATAAAAAGAAGAAGAAGAAAAAAAAAGAGGATTTGGGGGATTTGGGGTTGGAAAGAAGACACTCCTAAACTATTATTTTTTTTTCCTAGTGGTTCAGCAAGGCCCCAAAATGGACTATATCCTGCTGTCCTAATGTAGATCTGTTGAGTGTCCTGAAATTGGCCTGTTTTGCAGAAAAGAGAGAGAGCACCAAAAACAGCAAACACGCTGAACCTCCTTGCAGTGGGCTTAGTGGGCAGATCTCTACAGGCCGCTCTAGTCCTGCAGGTCCAAACAAATCTTCTAATGTCACACCATAAGTTAACGATCTCAGTATAAATTGGGATTTTCCAACTTGTCACATCTGTGCTGTATCCCCTGGGCATTTACGCAGCGGGGCAGAGGGGGACATTTCTCCAACCACGCTAGTTTGTGATGCCTTGCACCAGTTTTACATGATGCTGAATAGTCCTTTTTATTATTATTTGGGGGGGTCGCTTTCTTCTTTCATTTGGGAATAAGGCTGCTTGCAAAGCCGCCTTGCCCTCCTCTCCTCCTTCCTTGACGAGTGATAGACTTCCTGTTTGGCAATAGACTTTTTTTCTTCTTTTTCTTTTCCTTTTTTTTTTCTTTTTCTTTTTTTTTTTTTTTTTTTGACACGCTGTCTCCATTTTTGCAGTGCCACCAAGTGGCCGCCTTTTGCACTATATACGTTCTATAGATATTTGCAGATCATATACAGAAAAAAATATAAAGCAATCTTCCTGCGCAGGAGAAGCGCAGGGGTCACAGGCCACCTCGGCAAAGGAGACCCCGGCGGATGGGTGACAACAGGACACAGGAGACAGCCGCGTTTGCGCACGTGTGCGCTAAGGCTTTTGTCCCTGCCGCG